GCGGAATGTTCGTAGTGGAGTAGCTGCTGCTGCTGCTGCTCTGCTGCTGCTACTGTTGTCTGCTATAAAAGCTTGTGAAAGTAAACAAACATGGCGGGAAGTTAGTGATGGTGCGCGAAACGGGAGTAATGACAGAGCAGTCGGCTGCAGAGGAAGGTAAGGGCCGAGTTTACCCGTATTGTTGGCGTTGGGAAAGAGTGAAGGAACGAGCAACAGGCTTGTTCTAGCTGAGAGAGAGGAGAGGGGGAGGGAGCCACACGTTGGCTGTGGAAAGGTGGGGAGTGGGGGAAAAAGTTCCATGTATGACACCTTCGCCACGGAGAAGGGAAATCCCACGGCAACGTTTCCTCCTGAAGATCGACGATACGAGATGAAAGCAAAGGGAAGGCATGGCAGTTTTTTTCTTCTTTTAGTAACAAGAGGAACCCATAGTGTATTACGAATTAGATACATGTCACTGTCTATGACTACCATTTTTTAAGGATAAGCAAAGTGAACCTATCCACTTTAGGATATACAGAAAAATGTGATATATCTGCTATCACTAGAACCTCCGATTAGAGATTAGATACGCTTTGCTGTATGTAATGACCGTAATCGAGAGATTGGAGCTGACCTTTCCACATGATTGAATCCCCCTCGCTGAACATGTGGGTTAGTTCATGCGGCTCTGAACACGCTGAACAGTCTGATTTAGTCCTTGAAGACCTGTTACAGTATGTCCTTTGCCACACCCATGGTGAATGCGGTATTTTGTTCTTTAAAATTTCCCCACATTGCGTTTCGTATTATCTTCTTCCCCTTTTAAAGTGACAGGCGGATAGTACGGAATGTTTGAATGTGTGCACAGCCATATATATACTGCACATATATATGAAGTGGGAAGGTATTCAAAGAACGCTAAATATACACGCAGATTTAAATGAACTTTCACTCTTTAAGGGACAATAAATCTTGACTAGTCGTGCGGTTTTCCTCAGCCGAGAATGACTCAACATCGTCTGTGTGAAAAATTGTGTGTGTGTATGTGTGTCTGTTCAGTAGTGCATTTGTCTGCATTTGGGTCTTTACTTGTTTACACGCAAATGCACGCGCTGATACGTACTCGCGCGCACACACACACACACACACACACACACACACACACACACACACACACACACACACACACACACACACACACACGCACACGCACACGCACACGCACACGCACACGCACAGGTGTATAGATGTGTGTGTTTGTTTGTTCGTACACGAGTATATTTAGTGTTTATGAGTTTAGGCGTGCTGCTTTCGTCACAGAGTCAAGGGCGCGCGCGCCGAGGAGCCAAGTGACAGTCGTAAAGCGCCGGACAGGTGTGTGGTTACCTGCTTCAGTCGAGCTGTAATTTATAACCCTGGGGTTTCGCTCTCATGTTATCCACACGCTTTCTCACTCTCTGTTAGACTTCCTTGTTCCTCAGTTCACCAGGCTTCTGCGACCTGAGAGAAGACTGAGAGGGACCAAGTATTCTCAATCGCGAATTAAAGAATCGAATGCCAAAATAAAAATAATTTAAGAGTAAGACATTAGCGAGTCTCGCTGGATGGGGGCGGGGCAAGAAAAAAATCCTCAGACTTTTCCTACAAGTACGCCCTTGTCCATTACCTGAATTTACGTTGCTAAATATTAAAATAATACTCGCAACTGCACTAATAGGAATTCCCCGATGATGTTAAGTTAACTCGGATCTGTCTTCCATATGTTTTTCCCCATTTTAGCGTCATAGTGTTAACGTCCTCCTCGGCCTGTGGCTTCAGTGATGCATGGGACAACGAGGGAATTTGCCTCTCTGTACCGATGTGTATAACAGAAAATAAATATGTGTGTAATAACTGAATGGCATGGGTGTGTCTTTACACATACACACGCATGCTCATGCATACTTGTACATGTAAACACTTAGAATTTGCAAGAATAGATGTCGTGCAATATGTAAGTGTGACTGCCATCGTACATAGGTTCTGCAGCTGTAATGATATTAGTATGTGACGCAGAGAGTCTTGTTGGACGTGCCTTCACACTCTTTGCTGCAAATGAAACCGCATTATTCATGAAACGAATACTTTGTTGTACCGTTTCTTTCTTTTTCTTAACTAACGATTTGACTCGTGGAAAACCCTGATAATGTACAGATCCTAGGCCAGTCTTTGTAAACGAAGTTGCGGAAGTAGATTCTTGTATACTGAAAGATATGTTCCCTCTGTTTGGTTTCTAGTGTAATGTCCAGCTTGAGATTATTCAGTCAGTATGAAAAGAAATGCATTGCTAATCACGTTAAAAGATACAGAACCATGTATTTTTTTTCATAATTGCAAAAGTTCAATCATATTGCACATAATCTAAGTCGGTCTCTGTTTATTCTCTCTTTGTTTTACATTGTTATCAGTTTATCAGCTGAAAGGGCCGTCATGTTTCAAGCCTGTTATGACAAGTCTCGATGACGTGTCGTGAATTAGC